AAATTGGGCCAGGTGCATATCGATGTTGCGTTACCTGCAAAAAAATTAGATTCATGAAGGCTATATTTTGTGGCTAATTTCCGATGTGTATGTGAAAGAAAAAGTCTTATAAAGGTTTTTACGATTAAAATATTTACCTCTTTTTCCCTTCAGTGATGTACTTGTATGTACTTTTCATGTGTACAATATGACTAAGAACGAATCCTAAATGTTTTGATTTCGTCTGTGTTTTTGATGTTTGGAGGTTAAGTACGAATAACTCATCGATCGAATAAGTAGTCCGTTTGGTTACTGTGACTGTGTCAGGCTTAAAATAATAATGACGCAAAGGAAGAGTTGTCATTCGATAAAGCAAGCTTTAACAACACGAATAAACGTACGAAAGAACGATGTTTTTTCGTCGCACATACCTACATAGCTCGACCGCTTGCCATCCTCTGTCGGCGAGATATCCAAGATAGACGCTTCTTGTGTCGCGTCTCGCGGCTTTTTCCTGCTTGTTCTTTCGCTTTTCTCGCTCACTTCCTTTGCTGCCACGTGTTATTCTTATTGGTTTGTTTGCGCAGGCCTGACTTGCTCCCTCTCTATCCCTTGCGCATGGAGTGTAACACGCGTGCGCGGCAGCTGAAGGCGTACCACAGGGGAGACGACAGAGCCGATACCCCATTACGCGTGCTTCGTTTATTTTGCGGCTTTGCACGTTACAGATCTTACTGTAATATTCCTTTGTACTTACAGCGGCGGGATTCCCTCTCATTATACTTTTTCTCGCGCCAACATTATACGGTACGCGCCCTATTTCTCTCCCCGCTACTCGACGTTCCCCTTCGTTGTATCTCGTTTCCTCTTTTCTTGTTTCTCGCTCCTGCGCCGCCCTCTCTTCTCGCGTCTTCCTTGCTTGTGTTCAATTCCCTTAAACTCCTCTCCACCAGTCGCTCTCGGTTTTACGATACGCACACTGTAATCCCGCGGCACGTCGTATGCCGATTCCAAAAGAAAAACACCGAGACTGTGAGATCCGGCGCGCGGTCAGCTCGGTTTCAATCTGCGTACATTCCATTTAAGATGAATGTTTTTTGCTGCTCTCCAGCCCCGTCGATTTATAATACATCTCGGTAGAGGGCGGGAGTGTGGAAGAAAAAAGAAAATTCGTGCTCGTTACATAGATGGCGTCGCTCGCTTTCGCACGTTTCCCGCCATTTAACACAACCAAGAAAACTTAATTGGAAGAATTTATACGATGATTTCGAGCTCCACTTGTATTGCATGTTATCGTTTATAAGAATCTTGCAAATGTTTATATAAATTTTACCACATCGATTCGGAGCGTGTGAAACGTGGTTGCACGTATAAACATTACCTAGCATGATGCCCACGATGCTTCTTGCCTAGTTATCATGCACTTAGAATAGATTTAAATAATCGAGAATTTTGCGTAAATTATATTAACAAGCCCTTAATTCTTTGAAGTAGTTAAAAAGGAGAGTTCCTTGATTTAGTCGGATCTGTTAAAGTCCGCGTATGTATATTTTACATAAAAATTAACTTTGATACTGAGAAGATTATATTAGTGAAATAAATAAAGAATCATGATCTGATAGTGACTCTAATAAAATCATTATTAAAAGCCATCATTTTTCAGCGATACGCAATGATATTGTCTCACACGAGAATCAATTGAATCCAGTACAATTCTCACTTCACGAAACGTCATCACTTCTTTTCGTCATTCATAAGCTAAAACCGTCTTACCTTAATAATTTCTTTTATCCAGCCAAAAACAAGCCAGTCCGACAAAGAAACAGAAAAACCGTCGGGTTAAAAGGGGTGTCGGTTGACGTCGTAAATTGCTTCTCCCCTGGATTTATGCGTAATCTACGCTGACCCACGGCAGACGGTTTAATGTTGCAGAGTTATGCGTCGAGGATGAACAGGCACCGCGCGCGCGCCTTTGCAACACTGTAACAACACACGTTTAAATACGCATCTACATGCGTAAAGGGCACAACATGTGCATAACACTGGAAACAGAAGAGGGCCAGTTTACGTCGATGCATATGCACACAGGATTCTGTCACCGCATACACGCAAAATGTATACACGCAACATAACCTACATGCGCGCAGAAGATACGAGCGCGTGCGCACTAGGGGGGTGCAGGACAGGTTGCGAAGCGTCAATGCGTGCAAGCGAGCAGCACGCGTGCGCGAGGGCCGCGAGGTGGATGACGCGTTGTGCTCAGGCGCACAACCCAGACCTAGCCCAATCTTGACGGCCCACGCCAGTCCCTGCGAGGGAGTAGCCGCGCATAACGCGTTCTGGGATGAAGCTGGAGAGTGGAGGTCGATGAGCGGACAGGGGAAAAGAAGAATGAACGGAGCGGGAAGGAAAACAGGAGAGGAGGAAGAGCAGCGAGCGGTGCTATAAGAGTTAGCAGGGCGGTGCGTGGGTCACAATGCCCGTAGGGTACAGAACCCCTGCTCTTTTCTTTCTTCTTTCTCCTTTTTCCTCCTCTTCCACCTCTCTTGTGGTCGTCGTCGTCGTAGCCGTCCTCAGGCACGTCGTCTTCGTCGTCGTCGGTCGGTCGGTCCATGCCACGACTCGTTATGGAAAGCATACGGGATATTGTTGCTCGTATATATGGAGAGTACGAGGGAAGTGCGCCGTGCTTGTACTATGCAGATGATTCCGCGATATGGGCTATTCATTGTGAGTCATTTAAGAGTTTATGCGGTGGGTACGGGCCGCGGCCGCGTACGCGCGATATGTTATTATATTGCGTATCGAAAGGTCCGCTGGTAACGCATGCACCGCTGGCTGATCGTAGCTCGCGGTCCTTCGCGCCGTCCGCGCCGAGAACACAGCTGCGGCGCCCCCTTCTGCTTGGAATATATAACCAGTACAGGTGTAGTTGCTAGATGGCCGCGAATCTAAGAACGTACCTGAAAGCTCACTTCGTTGATCAATACTTTTATCTAAAATATAAAATAAATATTATATTAACAAATCGAATTCTGTTTTACATAAAAACTAATTCTAGTCTAGTTATGGGTTCATAACAAAACTAGTACTGTGTAGGTATAAATAATGCTATATCTTGAAAGTGACCGTTTTCAATTCGATCCAAACTAGATCTGAACGATATTATTATTCGTATAAGATAAGATTGGATCAAGTATGATTTTTTATCTAATAATTTAAAAAAAAATTTGTGTTTAAATATTTGTATCACTTAACGAATAAAAAATTTAAATAACGATGGAGTTATGTATTATATAAATATGTATCAGTCCTTTGTCACAGAAATATCCATCATTTAAACAATTTCAATATTACGATGATAGTAAAAGTAATAGAGCATCATTATGCAATTTTAAAGACAATCAAATACGATTAGCCTACGCTGAAGGAATCAGCCAGGGAATCACAATATATTTTTCTTCGTTGAAAATTACGCTCCTTTCCGAAGAGCAACATTTCCTTGGAACGGGAACAACATATAGAGCATGCTAGACGCTCTTATACCATAGTGGCTCTTTTGCAGAGTATCGATGAATAAACAGGCAGAGTTGCGATAAAACGCCCGAAGCTGTCTGTGGTCGGTGTGTTATGCATACGAGAGAGCAAGGGTAAATGACGGAGGTGGCAGCGTTGATGATGGTGGTGATGCAAAACATGATAATAATAATGACGACGTAGACGTCGCCGGGAATGAAGCGGACACGCGTCTACCCGCATTTCTTTAAATTTTATACAAACCAGATCTCAACTAACGGAATGAAACGTCACTGAAACTCGATGATCGGTGTTTCACTTTTTGATTTCACTCGGTACCATCTTTTTTCCTTTAATCTCTTATTTATTTATTTAATATTTTATTTTGGTAGCACTATTTGTCATTTCAAATTAATATTTATGAAATTCAATTTTTCTTTTTTCAAGTAATTCGATAATCAGTATTTGATGATATACTTTAAATTTATTTATCGAATTCTTTTGCTCGTTATCTAGATTTAATTCCATCAAAACTTAAATTCTTTGGACGACTCGAAAATCGAAACGATGGAGCCACTTGTACCATTTTTATTCTGTTACTGAGATCTTGTTTGTTACGTCGGCTTAATTTCTTTGGAATTCGGATTCTAATAATCGAAGGTTCAAACTCGATGGTATCATACCTTTTACTTGTTATATAGATACATATCGATGATTATCTCGAGTTAATTTCATTTAACTTTAAATTCCTTCTACAAAGTGGGCCGATGAATTGAAGGGATAAAAAAAGTAGAACCCTCCAGCTACCAATCGTCGAATCAAGTTATACCACCCACGCGATTCACCTCCGATCGAATTACCTTCACGATGGGTTCCATTTGCTGTGCTCTCTTCGGTTGGTCGCTGCTGCATCGAAGATCTTAATACCGTGCATAAATACACTCAAAAGTAGAGACCGTTTATTCTTCGTTTCAATCTTTGAATGATTAGGAATATTTCTTAAAAACTGCTCCACTTTTAATTCATACTAAATACTTACGTAAATAAGTTACATTTCAAATCTAAGTAATCTTCTAATACTTAGATACCTTCCTGCAAAATTAAATAAAACATATGAGAATAATTTTCGGTTGTACATTAATACATGAAATTGTATGAATGTAATACAATTTACTAAAAATATAAAGAAATAGGATTTTACATTAAGATAAAAATACCTTTTTTTTACAGAAGATAGTCAAGAGAGACAAAGTTTTTGCAAATACTATTAAGCTTATTCAGTAAACTGCTAATCTAGTCCAAAAAGTATTAGGTATTTATTATGGAGAAATCAGCACCTGAAAAAAATAACGTGTATTAAAATCAGTGAAATTGGTAACAGAGTAGCAAGGGACGTAGTATACTCACATGACAGTGGAAACATAGTAATCTTTTAGACGCTTTGAAAGATACGCGAATTCTTGAAGGCCTGTTCATGAAACTATATTTTTCATATTTCTTTGCAGGAAGAGTATAGCCAACGCAGACGCCTATCCACTCCCAGCGGCAGTCCCAGTCCGCCCAGGCCGACAAGGCTGTCAAGATCTACGGGTACACTCACTAGAGAAGAGGAATCCTTTTGCGAGTCAAGCAACACCCTCACCAGAGAGAATCAGGGACAAGAAGCTGAGAGGAAGGGCTGGTTCAAGTCTCTGTCTAGGAAGAACAAGTCAAACATTAAAGTAAGTTTCAATTCCCCTGAGACACCTATATATAATAAAAATGAAAATTTTGTCTCAAAGGTTTTATTATAAACTTTCTGTTTATATGATAAAGTATAGGAAATGGACTATAGCTAATAATAATTAAAACTAGGAAATATATAATAAGAATAAGAAAATAAGCAAGTTTAAAGGACAGAAATAGGTAAAAATTGGTTACAATCAATATCTTAGATGATTCATAGAAAATAACGAAATGTGTTGCAAATTTAATATTGTGAATTTTACGAGCTTATTTATTCTTCTGATAAACTAGTTCAAATGTTGAAAGAGACACAAATGATCAAGGAACATCGCATAAAGTATTCCGGTTTATGATATCATTCATCTGGAACGGTTCTCCAAAGTAATCAAATTCCTCTATGAGACATTCCAAAATTGGTTACGAGTGGGCGACGTTTTAGTGGAGAATGGACTCTGAGCTTTTCAACTATGTTGCGTGCATAATATCGCGATAAACGCCTACACAGTGACGCGATACGTTTACAACAAAAATTAAAGAATTCCTAGCCAGCTGATGACATTTCCGTTTCCACTGAAGGAATCGTTTCTCTCTATTTTGATCGTCGCTCTCGAGATATCAGAGGGTTCCCTGAAAAATACAAAATCACAATGAATAATATACATATTTCCATGCAAGCATAAGGATACAAACCCTTATCAAATAGGCAAGAAGTTTTTGACTGTTTTTATAGTAAAAGACTCCGAAGCTAAGTATATGATTTTTGTGAATCCAACCGATAACGAGCGGATGGATCGTGGGTCCGGTTATCGAGTTCGCGGCGAGCCGACTGAGCAAGCCAGTGCATTCATCAGTCAGCAGAGGTCGCTACGGAGCGGAGCCATTAGGCTGGTACAACCTCCAATTACCAGTTTGATTAAATGCTTAACTAACTCCGCGCTCTGTGGTTTAATTTAATCGCGAGATTAAGTGCCGATCAGGGGGCTGCCTAGCTTTTAACCATCGTCCGCGGAATAATCTCTGTCAGGCACCGATTCCGATCCTCTCTAGCCGCTTCGATAAGCCGACTAGCCGTCTCTGTGGCTATGGCCGTTCGAGATGATTGCGTGCGCGTGAATCTCGCCGTGGACGATGATCTATCGGGGATGAGTCGATGGGCAGGGGAACGGGAAAGGATCATGACTCATGAAGGCGCCACGGATGGAAACGAGCGGGAAGCCACGATTTTTTCTCGACCATGCAAAGAAAGCACCTTTGTGCTTGGCATTATTATATTTCGTATAGCGTAGAACATAGCGAACCGTTCTGTCTTTTTCCCTCTTTCTCCTTTGTTTTTCCTATCCTTATATCCCGTTGCCCATACGATCAGCGAACATCCCCCCCCCCCC